ATTTTTAAAAAAGTTTTCTCTCCCAGGGAAATAATGAATAGCTCTCTCTTTCTACATCTCCATCTCTTTTTACATTTCTATCTCTCTTTCTGCATTTCTCTCCCTCTCTTTCTTCGGTTTTCTCTCTCTTCCTGCATTTCTCTCTCTCTCTTTCTGCATTTCTCCCTCTCTCTTTCTGCACCTCTCTCTTTTTTTTCTTTCTCTCTGTTTGCATTCAATTTCTCTTTTTCGCTCTATCTCCTCTTCCTTACTTCTATTCCTCCCCTCTTTTTTATATCTCTCATCTCCTCTCTTTCTCTGTTTCTCTCTCCCTATCTCTCCTCTTTCTCTCTCTTTCTCTCTCTCTCTCTCTCTCTCTCTCTCTTCTCTCTCTCTATTCTCACTCTCTCTTTCTCTCTCTCTCTCTTCTCTCTCTCTTCTCTCTCTCTCTTCTCTCTCTCTCTCTCTCTTCTCTCTCTCTTCTCTCTTCTCTCTCTCTCTTTCTCAATTTTCACTCAATTTTCTTCGCTCTCTCATCCACATTAAATTTATTGAGGAGGTCCTGCCTTCAATTAGGGTTTTAGACTCTCTTCAAAATTTTTTTTGTTCATACTTAAATATCACTTGACTAACATCAAGGTTATCTCAAATTCATCTTTAACTACTCATAAATAGACCACTTTTCACACTACTTACATACCATTCAATTAGGGTTTTAGACTCTCTTCAAAATTTTTTTTGTTCATACTTAAATATCACTTGACTAACATCAAGGTTATCTCAAATTCATCTTTAACTACTCATAAATAGACCACTTTTCACACTACTTACATACCATTCAACACGAAAGGTGACACAACCATTTACAATAAGAATATTTAAAATTTATTCAACACTCATTTATATATGGTACATACATACATACATTTATTTGTTTGTATTTTACTTATGTGTGTGTGTGAGCGCTTTTTAAGCTCACAAAAGCTCACGTTGAGCAGTTAAATTTATTTAAGTAAATTGATAGGAAAATGCGTGTCATTGGCACAGATACTGGCGCCATGAATGCTGCATACACTGACACACACACACACTCATTCACTCATACATTTACATCAAGAAGTGCGTAAACATCAGGCAAACATTTCAAAGTGGTTTGTTAGCATTTGGTCTTGGCATATAAAATAATGAAAATTTTGTATACATATACTGGTATACATACATTTGAAGAGACTTGTATAAAGGTTGATGTAAATGCTTTAGACAAAGTTTAACGAACTGCTTTTGACCTCTCACATGCACACATGGAATAAAGGTATAATTTTTCAAATAAAATCATACAAACATACGCTCAAAATTTCCATTAAATTATCGAGCATATGCGTCACACTTTCACTTTGACTTTGACTTTAGAATGTGCATACATCATTGCCGGTTGTATGCTTTTAGGCGCAATCAAGTGACACAGCACTATTCCGCGGGGGTGAAAGCCAAATAAGTGAGCATGATTGCAATTTAATAGCGATGAAATCAAAAGGCCCACCCGAAGAGGCAACGCTTAAAACGTCCAAATGTTGCCACCAACGTGAGCTACTACGTTACATTCTGAAAAAAAAATTCTCTTTTGCTACCCACTTTAATCTCATTTGCGCTGCATTGGTAGATTATAACATTTATTTTCCACATAAATCGTGTTGAATTGCATTTCCAAGCAAAATCGATTACAGTGCGAGCACGCTGCAGCAACGCAACGTCAAAGTAACTATTATGTGCACTGCCTACATACAGGCGCGTCGCAATATGCATTACGCTACTCGGTTGGGAAACCATCAACCAGTGACGATGCCCTGCCAGTGGTCATGGGCATGTGGTGGCAATGTAGCGGAGGCATTTTAATTAAATGAATTGCTTTGCTGTGATTGCACGCCTGTATGTATGCAATGAAATGGTGGGTGAGAAAGAAAAGTAGAGAGAGAGAGAGAGAGAGAGAAAGAGTGATAGAAATAGTGTGTGTAAGAGGGAAGGCAACATTTGCCTTGATTAATGCAAATAAAATTTACAACAAATATATAAATAATTCAATATAATTTTTACGCCACAAAGTATGCACATAACTACACTCATTATTGACATACCCATATAAAGTTTATGCTTTCAGGCACTTTTACCGTAATATACTTACTTACCTGAGTGTATTTATATTTATTTCCACAAATTGAGAGATTTTCATTTACGCAAATAACATAAATAAATAAATACATGAAATTTATAATTCTCGGTAAAGACTTATATGCATACACACACACACGCAGGTATATACACGAATATGTATAAAGTGTAGCCATAAATTAATTGGAATTTTCAACTCAACATGACTTTATATAAAATTCAGACCTATATGCATATGTACCAGTATATACATAAAGATATCTGTATATCATCTTTTACACAAAAAAAATACCGTTATCTCACTGCCACATTTTGCTTGTTGTATTTGTTAAATGTGTAACAAAACAACTATGTAACGAGATTACATAAATATAAGTGATACTTGTAGTGATAACATCACTCGTGACATGCCTATGCACAGACTGACGACATACTCTCTCTAATAACGGTGTCTTTATATATGTGCGCATTTCTTCGAAACGCTTTAAGCTTCGGGTAAGTGTTGAGTAAAACACTTAAACTGACGTCTAAGTGGTTTACACTTTTCATTAAGGCATTTACTATGAAATGAGACATTTAGTGAATATTAAATTTGCTTGTTGCCATTATTTTCAGTGACTTTAATGTAGCATACTTTTAAGCGCAATCAGAAAATTTTTAACAATTTTCACTAAAAAAAAAAAGCGAAATTCAAAGCAAGCATTGAGATTAATAATATCTAAAATCTTAATTGGAAAGTTAAACTAGGTCAGTGATGGTGCAATGAGTAAAAGGGAGCTATTTAATGGCTCTTCTGTTCTTTTTCTATCACACTTGCACCAAAACTGCTACGCTATCCTTCGGTTGTATATAAATGTCGATATATTGTTAGCTTACTCCGCACCAACAGACGTGATATGAATTTCAACCTAGATTCAGATGCCACTAGGGATACTCTGTGCCAGTTTCAGTGTTGTTCTCATGGTCCATAAGAGAGATCATAGGCGTTATTTAGCATTCACTGTGATAGTACAGTCAGATCGATAACGACATTAACTACGGAATAACTAAAAATATCAAGACTCCAGAGATTTCGTGCAGAGATCATTCAACAGCCCCTAGCAGAACTGCTATACGGAACGAGCTATCGACAATCCCTAAGTTTCATTCACGGAGAGTCCAAATATAGTTTTATTAATTCTTTTTTTTTTATAAATGACATGCTCAGGACTCAATCAGATGAAGACCTTGACTCCAAGAACGCTTCTTACCACCTACTTGCTTGCGCACTATAATCCTCTTGCCTAAACTTGTCGAAACTCTCTTTCTCTCTCTCTCTCTCTCCCTCTCTCTCTTCATCTCTCTCTCTTTCTCTCCCTCTCGCTCTGTCTCTCTCTCCCTCCCTCCCTCCCTCTCTCTCTCTCCCTCTCTCTCTTTCTGACCGCTTACTTTGCACAGAAGAGCTTCAATAAATAACACGAGAATTAGCCGAGAATTAAAGAATTGGAAATCAGCATCAACATCAAATTAAACCAATGGGTGAGAGCTGATCGGATTCTACTTGTGAACATCATTTAAATATGGAGGAAACCTAAATAGTTAAGCTTCCGAATCAGGATTAAGCCTTTAACTCTAAAAAATTGCAACTCTTCAACGGCAGGATTTGTCAAATGATATTTTTATACCTTTCATGGACATGAAGTGGTGTGTTAACTTTGGTCTGAATTATGTATGTACTCGCCAATGCCAGAAGGAGAAGAGATAGTTCAAACGCTCTGGTAGATTTGAGCAATCATTCGTCCGCCAGATCGGACCACTATAATCTATATGCGATTATTTATATATGAGATTTCAGGTCATAAATTTGCCACAGAATATCTAAGAGCGCGAAATATGATTAATAGCACATTGGTGCTGAAAATCATCGATATCAGTGGGCTCTATCGTGTGTAGCCCCAATCAAACCGATTTTTTTTTTTTCAAAATCGGTCAAAAATATATCTAAGAGCATGAAATTTTGCAATCAACATTCTTATATTTAAATATATAACGTCACCGAAAATCATCGAAATCGGTGGACTATATCATATGGCCCCCATACAACCAATTGCTTCAGATAGAAGATTTTGGATAAAAAATTCTTCAAAACACAATCAAAGGACTTAAAATTTGTTATTTTACATACTTACATATATACGTAAAAAAAATGAATATTCCCACCGAAAGTCATCGAAATCAGAAAAACTTCATCATACATCAGGACCAACCAATTTTTCAGATGTTAGAATTAATAATTAATCCTAAAATTAATTAAATTTCATAAATTTGATATGATCATAAAAGGTATAAAAACTTTGACATAACCGCAGAAAGCTCTTCTTTGTTGTTTCAATAAATTTGTAGTCATTAAATTGATAACTATCTCAGTGCTTCTACGCAAATTTCATCATTATAGCATACCTTCAGGCGTAAAAAGTTAATAAATAACGCTTGAATGAATAAATTTGAAAATGCAAAGCAACAGTTCAGGCAATACTACAGCTGTATGTACATATAAATCTATATATGTACGGATTTATATATGAATGAGTATACGTGTGTATGCGTAGGTGGCATTTCGTAGGAAAATTTCGAAGTTTAGTTGTGCATTTTAAATTCCACGAAAATCTCAAATTGTGGACAGAGAAGTGTGAATAGTGGAATTTTCCTGGAGAATTATAATTATTAAATGACAGCAGATTGACTGTACATACATATTTACATATTTATATATTATTTCATATATTACATGACATAAGCCTGAGGTTATGCTACATTAAGCTGCATAAATATTGACTTTATTCAATAAATTTTCAATTTAATATTTTTACCCGCAGGTCAACAACGCATACACAGAGTACAGCACTTCATTGAGCTAAAAAGCAACAACAACAACAGCGGCAGCAGTTTTTCACTTAGCACATTAATTGGCAGCAACAAAATCGGTTACTGGCAGGAAAAGTGAAAGTTTGCATACAGAAAAGAGAAGCAAAAAAACACAAAATTTTCCAACTCTTTCGATAACAACTATCAATCCATACATACATACATACCTGCGCATATATTACTGAAGCGTAAAAGCATTAAAATTCAACTGACAGCTGTCAATTGCTTGTCCACAATAAATCAGTCAAGCGCAAAACCCCTTACCTTACCGACCGATATTCAATATCACCACACAAATGTGGCGAAGGCAACAAGCAACCGCGACGCCGGAGACGACGACGACAACGTACGGTGGCATCACATTGATCATCTTTAGCAGCGCTTTGTTGTTGTTATTTAATTTAATGCAAACAGCAAGCGAGGCCACAGCACGTATGACAGCTGACAGCGGTGGTGGTAGCGGTACAGAGCTTGAGCTGGATATGTTAGAAGCTACAGAAACGACGGTGTGGCCCGATACGAGCACAGTAGCGCATGCTGAGCACATGACCAGGCTGGAGAGCACGAGTGAGCTAAATCAGTTGGGCGCAAAACAAATGTGGGCGAAAGTGCAGCCGGTGAATGGAACGAATTTAGGCAATACTCTAAACCGCTCGCACCCGTTTGGCCAAAAGTTGCAACGTGCTCAACGTCGTCGCACATTCTACGAGTACTGCATGGCACATCGTAACTCTTTTGCCGATCTCGCCACACTCGTACTCTACTCGCTCGTTTGCCTGGTCGGTTTGTTCGGCAATACGCTCGTCATTTATGTTGTGCTGCGTTTCTCGAAAATGCAAACCGTCACGAATATTTACATACTAAATCTTGCCATTGCCGATGAGTGTTTCCTTATCGGCATACCGTTCCTTATTTACACAATGCGCATTTGTAGCTGGCGTTTTGGGGATTTCATGTGTAAGGCGTATTTGGTGAGCACGTCCATTACGCAATTTACTTCGTCCATTTTTCTCCTTATCATGTCGGCTGATCGTTATCTTGCGGTTTGTCATCCGATCGCTTCGCCAAAATATCGCACGCAACGCAATGCTAAGATCGTATCGGCTATCGCGTGGCTCACCTCGGCTGTACTCATGCTACCGGTTATACTTTATGCGAGTACTGTGAGTCAGGAGGATGGCGTTAATCTCTCGTGCAATATCGAATGGCCGGAGACATATAAAAAGCACTCGGCGACTACTTTTACACTCTACACTTTCTTTCTCGGTTTCGCTACGCCGCTTTCGTTCATATTATGTTTCTACTATCTTGTCATACGTAAGCTACATGCTGTGGGCTCGAAGCATAAGTCGAAAGAGAAGAAGCGCTCGCATCGCAAGGTCACTCGTCTGGTACTTACAGTCATTACTGTTTATATACTCTGTTGGCTGCCCTATTGGATCTCACAGGTGGCGCTCATCAACTCGAATCCCATGCAGAGTCAACTCTCACGTCTCGAAATGCTCATTTTTTTGCTACTCTTTTGCCTTGTCTACTCGAACTCTGCAATGAATCCAATTTTGTATGCTTTTCTTAGCGACAACTTTCGCAAGAGCTTTTTTAAAGCTTTCACTTGTGTGGCAAAAAATGAAGTGAATGCACAATTGCAGGCCGAACCGAGTCTGCTGCCGAAACATGGTAGTGGCAAGCGTCGTCAGAAGCGTATGCTTAATGCAAAAACGCACGATGAGCCACATTTCATAGCAACAACTAGCGCTAACAACAATTCATCGGTTACAACCTCATCGACTACGACAGCGCCAGTGGCGGGCGAGAAGGTTACAGCATTATTGTTAGCAACAGCTACAGCTTCGACGGAGGGCTCCGCCTCAGCGCTGACACAACCGAATGGTCGATCCCTCGTGCGCTCTTCAACGATGGAGGGCCAGGAAATGGTACTTGTGGTGGAGCATGAACGGCCGACGTGTGCGCTGGTGGAACGTGAAGATGTGTGCGGTAGTATGCTGCAGACGGATTTGTAAATGTAATCTACGCTTAAGCATTTTATACGAAAATAATTATAAGTTTTAATGAAATGAATATATCTCTATAGAAATTTGGCGAATTTGAAAATATTTAAAATTTAATTTTTATATTTACTATTTAAATGTTCGATTATTCAATACTTTAAATTTTTTTTTGTACATACACGTATATACAATATCAATTGGATATGAAATGGTTTCTTAATATTTGTTGTATATCAAAATAAAATTATTTACGGAATTAAGCAAATATATTCAATGAAAACCGAAAACAAATTTAATTTTATTTCTTCAAAAATATAGAATAAAAAGTTTATAAAAACAAAACCCAACCACTAATATGTAATCCAGCTACTAAATATGTATAATTATTAATTATTCAATTTTGATTAAAAGAATTTTTACAATAAATCCAAATAGCAAAACAACCTAATTTATTAGCAAGTCCACCAAGAAATGGATGCTGCACAACTTTGACTTAAACACTATTTTAATTTTTTAAATTTTTTTTTTTCTTAATATTATTTTATTTTATTTTACTTATTTTNTTTTGTTCTATTTTATTTTATTTTATTTTATATTGCTTTATTTATTTTATTTAAACTTATATTCATCAATTTTTCAATTTTTTTTCTTATTTATTTTATTATATTTTTTGATAGTTTTCCAGCAACCTTACATTTTAATTACTTTTAAAAATCTAGTGAAGACTGAATAAAAATCCCAAAATTCCCCGCTCGTGTGTTCATAATGAGCTTAAAATTTTTTTAACTCCTCAAAAATTTAAATTTCTAAGTTTTTTAACAAATACACAATGAAGGCGTCACAAAAACAACCAAAAGGAAAACAATTAAAATATAAAGCATTTAAAAATTAAATTATAAAAAATAAAGGATTCACAGAAAACGTTTACTTACAAATATGTTATGAAAAAAATATTTACACATAAAAATAATAATAATGTCAATGTAATCCCGAACGCCTCTAAACTCAGCTCTTTAAACACTAATATTTTTCTTTCAAAATAACTAAATAGTGTAAAGCCATCCTCCAAAATTTTCAAGCAAAATAAGGCAAACCAATTTGAATGAACGGCAATTGGAAAAAATGGGAGCTACCGTTCAAAACTAAATATTTATTAAGCTATTTAATTCTTCTCTTAAGTCCCGGAATCAAAAATTTTGCTGAAAAAATTATCGAATTTTTGAAAGTTGAGGCAATAAAATATACAAAAATAAACAAGCCGTAAGTAAGTTTAATGAAAAAATTATAATAATTAAAAAAGTGTCACCAGACAGAAAATAATTTATTTAAGAAAAGACAAATTAAATGAATTTCGGCTTTTAAAAAGTGTACAGTAATTAGGAATTTCCACACAAAAAAATAATTTCCAAATTCATAAATTTGTGAAAATTTATAATATAAAATCGATGTAATATAACAAGAATTTTAATAAATAAATGAAATACTAAAATAAATATAATTTCATTTTTTATAATAAATCTTTGAATTATTTGGTAAGTAGAGATAAAAAAGTATTTTACCTAAACATAACTTACCTAATCTAATTTTACTTTACTTTATGTTATTTTATTTTATTTTATTTTATTTTATTTTATTTTATTTTATTTTGTTTTATTTTATTTAATATTTTTTTATTTTATTTTATTTAATTTTATTTTATTTTATTTTATTTCTTTATGTTATTTAATTTATTTTTTTATTTTTTTTAATTATTTTATTTTACTTTATTTCATTTTATTTTTTTTTGTTTCGTTTTATTTTAATTAATTTTTTTTTTAAAATAGGATAATTTTTATTTTAATTTATCATATGTTATTTTTTATATTACTTTAGCTTAGTTAATTTTACCTATATTATTTTGTTTTATTTTATTCTAATTATTTTATTTTATTTTACTTTATTTTATTTAATTTTATTTATCTTATTTTATTTTATTTCATTGTATTTCGTTTTATTTTTTTAATTTTATTTCGGTTCTGTTTATTTTTTATTTCTTTTTTTTATTTTATCTGATTTGATTTTAATCTTAAATCTTTACTATTTTTTTTTCAAACCACAAAAGTATTGTATTTTCGGCATTTTCCACAAAAAATTAAATAGTCTTATTATTACTACAATAGAAGTTGACAGCTACTCAGCTTTGAAATTTTACCAAAAATCCAATTCGCTAAAGCTTTCCATATGAAAATTTCATTAGCAATATTAGTGGTACATAACGAAATCATTGCCAACCATAATGAGTTTCGATTATGGGGTATTTTATTCAGCAGCTCTAGGATCAAAGCTTTTTATACTCATACATGTAACTTTCATATTCATTTGGCTCAGCAGGCAAAAACTTTTACTCATAAACGAATGAATATGGAAACTATGAAAACTAAAGTGAAAACTTTTAACTTTTCCATTGAGAAGAGTTGGCAAGCCATGAAACTCGTATCTGTCGATTTATGTCGACTTATGTGTCATTCTAATTGGCTTTTGTACGTCAAGTCAAGTTACGGCGACCACTGGTTGGGATTGTGGCTTTGAGTTTTTGCATGTATGTTTGTATGTGTATATAAATATGGTTATACATATAGTTTTAAAATATTTTTCACTCTCATATGTTCTTTGCCCTTTTATGAGCTGCCACATTTCCATTTCAGTTTCAGTCTAATTTTAAATTCAAATAAATGAAGAAGAGCAGCAGTCAGAGTAAATTTTTAAAAAAAAGGGAATATATTTTTGAACATCGGTATTTAGAAAAAAAAATTATGGTGAAACTCCTTTTTTCGTAAGCCCTTCTCTTAAAAAATGTGCTAGTTTTGAATGACATAACCTATGAAAGCTACTTATTCTCATGGGAAATATTTTTCACATAGAACCCCGTCGAGATTCAAATAACTTATTCACATAACTGCTGAGAGGATTTTCTTTCCAAATTTCCTAATAAATGTCTAAGTTGCAAATATTTTTATGAGTATAAAAGGGAGATTTCTATTCTGGGGGATTTATAACAGATATTTTTCAATACTGTTAGAAAGGGAATTCTGTGATTTGGAATATGATACTTGTCTTAAAACCATCTTAATCCGAAGTGAGTAAGTATTCTATCCTATGTCTTATGGACTGCACCTGAGATATAATATATGTATGCTCCTTGGAAGCCCTAGGAAAGTACCGAGGCCATTCAAACGCCTTATTTCAGGGGGTTCCCGGGGTATGGGATAAAATGCTGGCAGTCACCTGACCAATGAAAGCAAAATTAAGATGCGTCCAAGTTAACAGCCAGTTCAACCACAATATTCCAAGTCATAAATGCCAACTCTTTTTTAGCATTCATCATCCAGGTTAACTGTTGACTACTCTGACTTTCTTAATGCTTTTAAAGTGATCAAATGACCGGAGTTCGCTTCTTTAGTCTTTCTGGCCCTAAAAGTCAATCCATTTTTTTATATCATAATTTTAAGTTGATAACTGCTAAAGGCACAATAAAGGCCCTCGGCTAGATATTCAGCCACATAACGTATCATGGTAAGTTCAATGGCATCCCATAAACCAAATCATCCACAAGCCTAGCAATTTTCATAATCTGAAGAAGGTAACTAAGAAAGAGTCTTGAACTTCACAAAAAGTTTTAAGTCCTACAGAATTAAATTGAACGTTCATCTGGCACTGCGGAAGGTCTAAAGAAATTGAGATAGGTATCGCTTTCGCGATCATAGCCAATAGTGCGTCGTTTCGGCGTTCAGCAGCAATTGGTTTGAAACTTGACTGGAGCGTGCGTGTCTTATCTAGACCGAAACGGTGTTCGGTCGCCATAGTCTGCGCACATCTAGAAAAATATCTTCCAGCACAACTGACTGCGAAACAAAGGTGCACCGGTGAAATCGATAAATCTCAACCCACCGTTTCTACCTAACTTGGCGTTGAAAATCGAAGAATCGAGGCCACCACAAATCCAACGCCGAATTTTGAACTCTTTTTTTCCGTCAATTGCCCGTCTATCACGTTCCTAAGCCGACAGGAATTTCAGCGTTAGCATTTACCAAGTAAGGAACATCCCAATAGGCATCTCATAGGAACCGAAACTTTACATTACAAGGGGAGTACTAAACATGAAGGAAACCATCCATTAACAGACAAGCACTGAATGCCATTCACCGGGAGTCACTCAACACCTTCAAAGATTCCCTTCTCGCGAATGGTTTGTTCGGAGAAAGAACAACAAACAACGGGCACGAGCTGCCTCTACAGAACCACGTGACACTGGCGCACCTCAGGTCTGGGTACTGTGGCAGATTAAACTCTTACCTATACAGACTAACGTACCCAACATATGCACTGTATATGGAGAGTCTCCGCACTACATTAATCACCTCTTCACATGCTCCCTTAAACTGGCACACCTAACTCTAATATATTTGAATTGATCGTCAGCAAAATTGAAAAATTCTCTAAACCAATGAGCAACTCTGTTGACGGTTTATGGTTTCGCCTGAAATTCTGACGCTAAATTCATTGTAGAGCTCTCAACTGGATCCTACCCACTCTTTAACGACTTTTTTGGAGTAGAATGAAACATAAAGAAGTTTAGTGTTTTTGCCGCCATGAAAGGAGAAAGGCAGCGTGCGCTCGAGAGGCGATTTCAAGACCAATTAATGGGTATAAGTTACGCTAATCTCACTTCTGTGGGTTCCAGTAACAATCTTGAGAGCGAAAAATCACGTGTTGTGTTGATTTTTTATGATGAAACCTAACGCCACAACAACTCTGCTCACAATATCAAATAAAATATATTTATTTATTTATTTAGTTGAACTTATTATTATATTTATAAACTAACGGTTTTGTATGACAACCATGCTTGCTAAAATAATAACAAAAAATGTGTAATAACACAAAGAGAGATTGTATTTTGTTCATTTTTTTTTTTTGTTTTTCTTTTCACACGCACTCTTGCTTATGGCACGCACGACTACGGCGAACTATCAAATTTTTCCTCCTCACGCGCTCATTCAGTCGCTCGCTCGTTTCTCGCTTTATAGCTCGTTACGCTAAACGTTGCATG